GACCAGGACCAGGACCAGGACCACCACCACCACCACCACCACCACGACCACGTTCCCAGGGCCAAGAGGGCTCTCCACCTTCCTCAACCCCCCACGCCATCGCCATCCCGACCTCCTTCCGCTGCCGCTGCCGTGGAGCACCACCAGGACCAGGACCAGGTCCAGGAGGAGCCCTGCGGTGGCCTGTTGGATGAAGCCGCCCTCCACCTCCACCTCCACCTCCACCTCCACCAGGACCAGGACCAGGAGGGCCTCAACCTCCTGGAGCAACACAAGGACGATGCTGCTGCTAAGGATGATCACGAGGAGGAGGTGGAGCAAGGGGATGCAACCATAGATGATGATAATGCTGTCAAACATCATCATCATGAGGTGGTGGAGCAAAGTGTAATACATGATGCCGTTGCTCTTGCTGTTGCTCTTGATGATGATCAGGACAAGAAGCCACTTATTGAGCAATGTACTAGTACCACCTCTTCCTCTTGTCAACAACTAACAACAGCCATGGAGAATGATGATGATGCTCTTGTGCAAGTTCAAGATGCCACCCACCCAAGGGATCAAGACATTGCTGCTGAGGGACAAGAGACACCGGAAGCTCATCAGCTGGGATCAACTGAGAATGCTGATGCTCTTGTGCAAGTTCAAGAGGAAGGTGCCACTGCTGTAGATGACCATGACAAGGCAGTGGACCAATGCATCACTTATGATGACTTGGGAACAACCATGGAGGATGATGTTGCTAAGGATGATCAGGAGGTGGCGGAGCAAGGTGTCATTGACCAAGGGTATGCACCCATGGATGGTGATAATTCTGTCAAACATCACGAGGTGCTGCTGCTAAGTGCCGCGCAAGGAACGCGCCCTACCACTCATGACATTGCTGCTGCCGAGGATCAAGGAAAGAATGTGGAGCAATGCACCACTTATGATGACTTGGGAACAACCATGGAGAATGATGTAGCTAAGGATGACCAGCAGGTGGTGGAGCAAGGTGTCATTGACCAAGGGGATGCAGCCATAGATGATGACAATGATGTCAAACATCACGAGGTGCTGCTGCTAGTTGCCGTGGAAGGAACGCGCGCTACCACAGATCACATTGCTGCTGTCGAGGATCAAGGAAAGAGTGTGGAGCAATGTACCACTTATTATGACCTGGGAACAACCATGAAGAGTGATGATGATGTGGACGATAATGCTACTGTTGAAGAACAAGAGGTGCTGGAGGAGCAAGGTGTTGTCGATTTAACCATGGATGATGATGATTCTGTCCAAGATCACAAGGTGTTGCAGCAAGGTATCATTGACGGAACCGATGACATTGCTGTTGAGAAGCAAGAGAAAGTGCTGGAGCAATGTTCAAGAGCAACCAAGGATGAGTACACTGTCAAAGAAAAGGAGATGGTGGTGGAGCAAGGTGTCATTGACCCAAGGTACATGGATCTTGCCACGGAAGATCAGGTTAAGTTGTCGATCGTAGACGACCAGGGTACAGTGCCCATGGATGATATTGTGGTGAAAGACCATGATAAGGCGGTGGCGCAATATGCCAGCGATGCAATAGTAACAATCAAGGATGAGAGTCCTGTGGAGGAACATGATACGGTGGGGAATCAAGGTGTCATCGACAAAAATGGCAGAACCAAGGATGATATTGATGTGGAGGGACATGGCTATCTGAAGGAACAGGTCATCGTCGATAACTGGGGTACATCCAGTGATGCTACTGCTTTGGAAGGTCAGAAGAATGAGGCTGAGCCACGCATCGGTGATGCACAGATAGCAGGCAAGGACATGGATGGTGTTCATGCTGAGGGGAACATGATGGGGCAAAGGACCGGCGATAAACAGGGAGCAACACAGTCTGATTTCACTGTTGATAAGCACAAGGATGTAGTGGAGCGTGTCCGCCATGAGTGGGGTGCACCTGAGGATGATCGTGCTATAGACACGGCAGCTTATCAAGGTACCGGCGATTGGGGTATAGTTAGCGAGGAGAAGGTTAAGCTGCCTGAGGATGATCGTGCTATGGACACGGCAGCTTATCAAGGTACCGGAGATTGGGGTACAGCTAGCAAGGAGAAGTATAAGCTGCCTGCTAGAAGATATCCACAAAAGCCCAGAAAACTTAACTGCCCCTCTTACATGTCAAAAGGGACCTGCACATACGGGCCCTCATGCCACTTCAATCACCCACCGGTAAAATCTGCGTCACTTTACTATCATATTATGTATTACTTTAAACTTTTTTTGGCAAGAAAACTTTGTTGGTTTCCGTACTTCGTTGAATGATGCAATTTTGCTTAGCACAATAGGTTGTGTAAATTATCGCTGTCATATCCATGCCATTTGTCATGCAACTGTGTAGGTAGTATTGGGATCTATATTTCAATGCATTAAGCTCACACCTGCAGTCCCTGCTGTATGCTTCTACATATATGTTCATATGCATGGCCTTTTCTGTATAAAAATGTAGTCTCTCGCATCCTTTCTAGTCCCTAGATAAGCAAGAGATGATGTAGCATTTTAAAAGTTCTATGTGCTGATAATTGTAGTGGACGTTTGAAAGCCTGATTAATATGTACCTCATTCACTACTTTGTTCATGAGCTATTTAGTAACTTATCATCCTCCTTTTTGATGATGTTGTCACTGCAGCAGCTTAAATCTAGGTCAGATGAATCATGGCGTCCCTCTGAAAGAAGAAACCATGGCGCTGCAGAAATTCTGGAACTGAACCGCCTTGGCCTTCCCATTCGAGAAGTATGCCTATGCTATCTTTTCATCTGTTGGAGTTGGTACTTATGATTTATATGGAAAATGTTGAAACTGAATGGTAGTCTAAATTACTTTTCAGGGAGCAAGAAACTGTGACTACTATATGCGAACTGGTGCTTGCAGATATGGCAAAAACTGCCATTTTAACCATCCAGACCATGTCATTGATGCTCAGTTCAATCCACCAACAGGGTGGGAGGATAATGCTTTGCAGCAAATGGAGAAATCTTCTGACCGTACATTAGATGAGACATCACACATGAAGAAATCTTCCGATGATGCGACCTTAGATAACAGATCACACATGAAGAAATCTTCCGATGATGCGACCTTCGATGACAGATCACACTTGAAGAAACCTTCTGATGGTGCGACCTTAGATGACAGATCACACTTGAAGAAACCTTCTGATGGTGCGATCGTAGATGACACATCATACTCAAAGAAGTCTTCTGACCATGACAACTCATGTAGCTCTGGTGTCCTGCCACCAAGCATATTTAGAATGCTTCTACCTCCCCAAAAAGTACTGCCTGGTACGGAAGGAAAGGCGAAAAAGGTACGTGCTGTTTCTTCCCTATATTATGCGATGTTTTGATCTTCATTTGCACACATCTCTTGGATACTGCTACTTTGTGACACTGCACTGTGCTTTCCTAGATTTTGACTGCTCTGTGCCTTTTTTGTTAATTTCCTTATCGTATCTGCTTCATGCAGAAGTCAGGCTGGTCATCAGACGATTCCGATGGTTGCTGTTCAGCAGATAGTTCAGATGGACCTTTGTGCAAGCAGGGGGGGCACGTGGATTACCCTGAGAGGCCTGGCAGACCAGAATATCACCACCCAAAACAGTCAAAAGACAAAGAAGAGGTAAACTATCCTGAGAGGCCTGGCAAACCAGATTGCCCCTTCTACATGAGATTTGGTGATTGTAAATTTGCATCAGCATGCAACTATCACCACCCAAAAGACAAATACCCAGCTGGGAGACCTGATGAACCAGAATGCCCATTCCTTATGAAGCGTGGGTACTGTAAACTTAGGGCACAATGTAAGTTTTATCACCCAGAGGCTTCAAATCCTACCATGCAGAGCCCAACAGATGCAAAAAGATCTGTTACCACTGATGAACATCATCCATCTACAAGAATCACATTACAAGACTATATGCTTCCCCAGCAACCGCAGTATCCCGAGAGACCTGGTCAGCCAGAGTGCCGGTACTACTTGCAGTTTGGGAAATGCAAATATCTGTCTGCTTGTATATTTCACCATCCAAAAGATAGACTTGCAGCTCACTCTGATCAGATTGGACCTGGCATGCCAGATTGTCCTTTCTATATGAAAACTGGGAAATGTCAATTTGGATCAGCATGTGAATTTCGTCATCCCAAAGATATACATTCAAGTTCAACTACAGAGGTATATTCTATTATCAGTGGTCGATGTTCAAGTAAACACTGTTGATTCAATCATAACTAGTTTGCAATTGTTCCTTTTTCTCTGGCTGATCCCTGTTGCATTTTTAGGCATGCCATTAAGTATAGTAAATGGTACTGGTCAGCTCAGTCCTGTGTAATGGGAACCGGGGAAGAAAACTATGTTTGCTTCTCTACTGGATAGAGATCTTTACTAGCATTGACATTTATGCAAATGAAAACTGAATAAATCGTGTGTTTGAGAATTCTTGTCCAATTTACAGTGGGAGTGTTACTATTTCTATACGCTTGTTTACTACCTCATTGTATGAATGAAGTCTGTTTAGAACCTTTTCCGTTCCTATTGCACATCTGCACTACGAATGTTTGAAGTATTCACACGACACAAAGATGGTCACTGAAAAAAAATGACGGTGTGGACTATGGAGCGCTAGGAGTAGTAAATATTGGTTGTCTGTGTAGTAGCAAGCAATTTCTTTCATCTACAATCTCAAGTGCAATGCAGGGTGCTCTTTGACTTCCATACAATGTTGATCGTGGTCTTGTTGAATTTTCTTCATTTCTCAGAAGTAGGAATATATCATGTCACCCAGTTGAAACAAAATAGTTATGGTTATCTGTGTAATAGCAAACAATTTTTTTTTATCTACAATCTCAAGTGCAATGCAGGGTGCTCTTTGACTTTCATACAATGTTGATCGTGGTCTTGTTGAATTTTCTTCATTTCTCAGAAGTAGAAATATATCATGTCACCCAGTTGAAACAAAATAGTTATGGTTATCTGTGTAATAGCAAACAATTTTTTTATCTACAATCTCAAGTGCAATGCAGGTTGCTCTTTGACCTTGTATTGCTACAATACTGATCGCGACCTTGTTAGATTTTTTTTCATTTCTCAGAACCAGAGATATGTTGGGTCACCCGACTGAAACGAAGTAGATGCTCAATTCAGTTGTTCCTCCCTGATTTCTTACCCATGGTGCTCATGGATGTTATGCTGTTTCAGGAAGCATTTGGTGAGAGAACTGGCTCGGGGGCGTACGATAGTTTGACAAGGTCAGATAATGGTGTGGAGCAACAAGAAGAGAGCATCATGTATCCTGAGAGGCCCGGTGAACCTGAGTGTAACCACTACATGAGGCAGGGCTACTGTAAGTTCCAGATGAACTGCAAGTACCATCATCCAGGAGACCGGCTGTCTAAGAAACAGTATGTATGTATGTAAGACTCGTATAAATTTTTAGAAAAAGCTTGATTCCGCTGCCTTTAGATGATGTTGATGATGATGTGTGCGAGTGTTGTTTCAATTGCAGTGAAGTCATCCGCACCGACCACTTGAGCAAAGCAGGGACACGCTGGTTACCGCACGAATGCTACCAACGGAAAGGTATACCTCTTGTGCAGTGATCTTGCCGATAGGAGTTGCTATTGCTTTGCAATTCTCCTAAAACAGCTTCCCCTTGATGTGGCCGACTTAACTTGGTGCCTATTTGTTTTGTTTTGCAGCATTGTCTTGATGTGTCGCCAGGTGTTGTTAGAGCAGGCTGTCTGGCTCAAGTGTGAGTGTGTCTGACGACTGAAGAGAGAGGAGTAGGAGGATTCTGATGAACTAACCAAAGCTTGGAGTCATCGTTTTTCTGGGGGTCTATGAGCGAGTAGTTGCTAGTTATGTCCATTTTGAGCGCGTTTGAGCTGTGTTGGTGAAAGGCACTCCCTCCCTCCCTCCATTTGCTATCGATTATGCGCTTGCGACATACTCTATTTGTGTGGACAAGGCCAGGCCAGGCAATCATGAATTTGCAAACTGTAATCTTGGCACGAACTACAATCTCAAGTGAATGCTGTCTCAAGTGAATGCTGTCTAGCTAGCATGATAGCAAGGTGTATCATGAATGAACACCGATGATATGAGATGAGATTACTACTTAATTAGCATGATGATGCACTCATTTTAGTTTGACACTTTTAAGGAAGCTTAGCTTTCTTGGATCATTTCATGCATTATTGTTATTGTGCTGCTGCTGCTTTTTTTTTCTCCTTTTGTAGAGAAGAGAAGAAAGATGAATGCAATAATAATAGGTGTCGTGATTATTACGTATTGATTAGTTATTAGTGTCTACTGCTAGTACAAGTGCTGCTGCTGCTGCTGCTGCTGCTGCTAGTTAAGATGGATGAAACAGCCAAGCGCAGGCTCAGCTGCCTGGCCTGGCCATAATGTTGTATCTAGACTAGAAGGTTTCATCATCAGTGCTAGTTTCTTCCGAGGAACAAAATCAGTGCAAAGGAGAAGAAGCTAAATGTTGATGAAACCAAGTTTGTTCCAGATCATCAACTCTTGTGATGGTGATATGCTGGGAATTACTAGCATCGATGCCGAATTCCTCGCAAGGTGGGGTGGATGGGGATTTGCAATTTGACATGCTTCTTAACATTTTTCTGTTTTAAGGTTGCGGGATTTCAGCATTCAATTCTGTGCAAACATGGACGTCAATCCCCAAGTCGTATGGTCCAAGACTTGGTGGCCAACAACATTGCTGTGCGCTCAGGTTAATGGAAGAATAAAGATGCTCCATGTCAAAAATAAATAAAAAAGTTCCATAACTTTGGAGAAGAAATAATGTGATTCATTCATTCATGTTTATAAGGAAAGACAAGCCCATTGCCATGCATCCTCCTCTTCAAGTAGTTAATACATGCAAGTCTGATTTGATGAACCAGCAACACTCAACATTCCATACATACATACACCACCAATCTCAGTCTATCAAACCAACATGGCATTGTCTTTTGTTTTGTGAAAAAGGAATACCAAAAGAAGCAAACCAACCACAGATTTTTTTAGCAACGACACAATGCTAGCTTCCAACCCAAAATGCGACACTCCCTCTTCTCCTCTTCAGCTGCTCCACACAGTAAAAACTCCATTTCAGAATCATTCTACTATATATATCAGCCACAAACAAAAAAGGAACAAGATGATAATAATAATAATAATAATAATAATAATAATAATAATATGACCAAAGATGACTCAGTTTCTTCCCACACAAGACAGGATGGTCTATCCATCCTAAGTAAGTAACCCATCTCTTTTTCGAAAAGGAAAAGTGTACTAAAATTGAAGAGCTAATATTTCCATTTGATCAACTAGTACCAGCTTCCTCAGTAATCTGCATAAATCTGAACCCAGAGTTTGCATTTCAGAAAGTGACAACCATGTGTTGAGTTTATTTATGCTGCTGCATGGTTCCTTGCGGCGTAAACCGAAAGCAGCAAAGGTCCTGCTTGGTGAAGCATGTTGATGTTGGTGGCAAGCAGGCACACAAGGTTGAGAGGAATGTTTGCAGGTAGAGGCAACATGAAGAGCAGAGTGAGGGCGAGGCAGAGCATGGACTTGGAGTTGGAGGTGCCAGGCGCCGGTGACATCCCGGACGGCCATGGAGTCGGTGAGGAGGTACAAGGAGCCTCCCTGCTTCACCTGCGCTTTCTTGGATCATTACTTCATTATTTTGTTTTGTTTTGGAGGAAGAGGAATAGCAGATTAGGCTAGGATGTGGGGGAAAGCAATTCCCAATAGCAGAGCAGGGCTTGGTTGGGCTGGGCTCACGCTTCCTCAAGTCTCCTAAAAAAAAACCTTCAAAAAAAATAATGAATTGGTGAAGCTGGAACCTCCAGGAGAGATGGTGGTTGCCGCCAGAACTTGTCAAAACTCAAGCCTCGGTCGCCCAAAGGCACTATAACCATCACGAGTCAGACGAACAAAACACTTTGATGCAATTGTGAGTAGATAAGCGGCCGATACTTGCCGCCATATAGGATGGTGACATGTAGCATGTTGAATCCCATTCCGTCTTGCGTCATTTCGGTATGTGAAAATCCCATGGAGTAGGAAATGCCTCATAAAAATCTAGACATGGACAGTCCAACTCAAAATCAGACTTGGTCGGGTTCAGGCCTCATTTTATTACCGTCCTCATATTCCATCACAAAATACCCCTCAATTATGGAATAGAAGACGTGAGAGACCTGAAATCAGCAGCCCACTAAACGGCTCACCGGCCTCCCCCGACCCACCCAATCTGCCAAACACACAACCGCACTCGGCACTCGCTCCCCTCATAGTCCCATCTCTCTCCCTTGTTATAACCTAGCCGACATCTTCCCCTAAAAACACCAAGGCCCAAGATCCACCGACCTCGAGGCCGCAGGCCAAGGCTCGTCGCTATCTTCTTCTCCCTCGAAGCCAGAACCACACTGACGTGTCCCTCTGCTCGTTTGGACGGAGCCATCGACGCCTCCCTTTATCTCCACCCTTTCCATGTCTGCACCGAGCAGCCGACAACGAAGACTTTCCGGTATGCAGTGATCTCATCATTTGTCATATGTGATAAAGTATGGCCGGTGTCTGGATATGTGTTTGGTGATAAACTATGATAGATGGTGATGCTATTTTGTGATAAACGATGATGAATTTTGCGATGATCTAAGACTCTTTTTCATTCAAATGTTTTGTCAACTTCTGGTGTGCTAGGGATGACAATTCCACTAAAGAGTAGTCCGGCTACTTCAACTCCAGCTACTCATGATGCTGCTGCTACTGCAAGTTTTACCACAATTGCTGAGCGCAAGCGGGCAAGATCTGAAGAAAATGGTCTCTCTGATGTAGGTAAACTAAGTGAACAACGGACTAAAGGTGAAATGCATGCAACTATTGCTGGAGATAAAACAACTCAACAACCACATCCACAGGTTAATCCCTCTCCTAAATCAAAGTTTGATCATGATTTTGTTAAAGTTTGTCTTTATCTGTTTGCCTTTTAGATCCATTTTGATGAATCAGTGTTGTGGGTTGATGCAGAATGCTTTTAAGGACATCATTGTAGGGTCTCATGGCAACGTAATGTCTATGTTTGTAGTGTTTATATCCATTCAATCATTTATTGCGTGCAATATATTTTGAAAATTGATCATCTAGTTTGATTTCGTATGTAGGCATCGGGCCCTCTTAGATAATAACATCAACTCCTTAGTTCCGCAAATGTCCGGTATTGAAATCAATGATGACAAATCTAGATTTTTGGAAAGGACCAAGTATTGCAATATCGAGGGACGGTCCAAACAAATTTCGGACCCACGGGGCAAAATAAAAAAGATACTTTATACCAAAATTTTATACTTTTTATTTTTATTCTATAAGGTGTATAATTTTATTATTTAGTTAGTTAATGAAATAATTTAGTTCGTATAGTTAACTAGTGTTCTTCGTTATCAGTTGTAATTTATGTGACTGATCACTATGTTTATGCTAAATTTGAATTGAGTTACCTTTGAATTATTTTTGTGACAATTCAAAGAATTACATAGTGCACATGTACATATTTCTATGTATGTGCGTATGTTCATGTATACTTTAGTTTCATTAAATATCATGTTAGAGGTTTCTAAAGAATAATGTCCAACTAATATCTTAATAATGATTTCTAGTGTATTATTAGGTGTGCATATTTATAGAACCTTGTAGAGTATAAATTGCACTGTTTGCAAGTGTATTTTAAGTTAGATTTGGTAATAAATTCAACATGTGCATAGTACTTAAAATAGTCACCGATGAACGTAAACGTATCACCGATTCAATTATGCTTATGTTTAATATTTGGTATGCTCATCCAGGCATTTGGTTACAAAAGAACGCCTAAGGAAGATCGACGGTCCACAATGATTGGACTCTCCACATTCAACACACATGATCGAGATAGTGGAGATCGTAGGCATGTCTCAAGAGATTACTGCGGTTTCTCCGGGCTTGAGCGGGTTACCCAAACTTTGGAGGGCTTTCTCAAAAAGGATGAAGTTTTGAGACACATTTTTTAGACCAAAAATGTCTAAAAGAAATGCATTCAGATGGAATTAGTTGTGGACTCATAACTAGAAGCAGAGATTTGGACAAGAAAGAATAGAGGGATAACAAGTCCGAACCTAAATTACTCGGCCAAATAAAGATCGAAACAAAACAGATAACTATGAGTGACAAGTTCATCGGACGAAACACACAATCCACTCAAGAATAACATCCTAATGAAGAACTAAAAGGAGAACATGCAGAAACAAAGATAACTAAAGTGAGTCAAAAGAGTCAAACAACTACTGAAGATGAGAACAACGAACACTAGGGCAAGGACAATTCCTCAACCAACAATTCATTCTCGGGGCACAAGATGTAACATTGAATTGCCCTAAGATGTGTTTCCCTGCATGAAAGATTAGTTTGTTTTCACTACCCAGATTCTTGTGGGAGGTGGAGACCTTATTTTGTTCGACCGTGCAGGAGATGTTTTCATTCGAGAACCTTTGGAATTTCACATTTATGAAGTGATAATGTAATCATAAGAATATGCATTGAAATTGTTTCCAGAGACATGGATGTAATGATAAGTATGCATGTACTCCTCCTGTCGATCATTTAATTGATTTTTCTTCGAGAGATAATTTCCCTGCAAGGTTAGGTTGGCAGTAATAGGGAGTCTTTCGATGATGGATTTTTCCACCCATATGTGCTTCTTAGTTGAACATGTC